ATTGTGGTCACTTCGAGTGGAAGAACGAAGAAAAGTCTATTGTACAAGCGAGTTATGTTTGTTCCGGTAATTGTAAAGCTAAGGATCTGTGCCAAGACCTATCGTCTCTGTTCACCACATGTGCTCAAATAACTGAAGAAAAAAATATCGAGATATCCATCAACATTACCATGCGCAAAGGAAAGGGGGTTACGGATGATAATGGGAAAGGAAAGGGGAAAGATTAGTGACTTCGTTGCAACCATGTGAGCGAGTTGAAGACTTATATTGTATTTGTCGAAATTGGCAAAGTTTATGTAATCTTCTTTGAACTTGTAGTACATTATGTATGTTGTAAGTCTTGGATGGAAGACTATTATGTAATCGTTTGTTTATTGCCTTATGATATTAGTTTTCTTATATTGAGCATGAGGAATGGTAAAAAATGTAATGCTAAAATGTCAATTCCAATAAAGAGCATAACGACATATAAGATTGACATACAAAATATCTATCGTCAGAGTTCTTTACAATCCACTTCAAAAGTTTAACAAAAATACGATAAGTGGTTGTTCCATCAAAGAAATTTCAACCATAACGTCGCATTACATTCCACAACAAAAATTTTTATGGATTCTACAATCCATGCCTCATCTTCCACTATCCATGTCAGTTTGTCTATCAACCATGGGGGTCGGAATAAAACGCATCGTCTCTTCATCATTTGGATTTTGGGTCGATGCCAATCCCTAACTTCTCGATGACACCATTTTACCCTGTATGCATAGCAGAATGTAAATGGTGCTTAGAAAAAAATTAGATATGGAGAAAGTTACAAAAATAAAAATAAAAATTGAACACGTATTTACTCACATGTTCATGCACTGATACATTGGTATTTGACTCCAGTGGTTCTAACTCAAAATTCAACCATTCCTGTGCGCAGGTAAACAAGTTAGCGTGTGAAGAAGAGATTTTTCTTAAATTGCCAAAGAGGAAAATACCCGATCTGGGGCACTATTGCTGGAGTGATATCTTTTATTGTGCCCCTGCAAGCTACATATTGAACACGTCATGCGCACTTGCCCTTTCTTCTTCATGTATGACGTTCCCTGGCTTTGCACTACCATTTCTTCAGCATGTTTCCTTCTCTTTTGCTGCTTCTTTCCCCGTTGCGGCATATGCCATTTAGGCTGGACAATAGTAGGGGCATCCACCTCCGGCCACAACATTTTTCCGTTCATTGGGTTCATGATGTTATTGTAGCAGTTCATGTACGTCTCGATCGTGTAACAATTGTCAACAAAATCCTCTGGATCATTTCTGCAATCTCGTATCACTGCCACTGCATGCATACACGGTATACCCGTAAGCTCCCATTTCCTGCACGCACATGTACGTTCTTCGAGATCAACTACAAATGTGCCAAAACTGCAATCAACCTGCCACCTCGGGCCCCCAGACAAGTGCAACGTGCATTCTCTTGACATATCACCGATCTTGAGCAGTCTTTTTG